TTACATCATTGCAGCTGTCTGTTTTACTGTACCATGCTGTTTTAAAATGAGGGATATTGTTCGTGCGGTCAAAGGGCGGTCTCTTTTTCTATTTCACTACAACACAGCATCATATGTCTAATAAGACCTCACAACTAAATGTGTGAAATCAATAATTTTAGAATATTGGCTTATGGGTATATTACCAATAGTAATAATAAAATGCAGCGGTTTATCAAATAGATGGCTTCAGGGATGAAACTCCTAAATTATTTGTGTTATTGATATGTCTTCTGCAATTTTTTTCTTGATCAGTTCATTCTTTTTTTTGGTCTATAAAATATCAGAACAAGATGAGTAATTTAAATTGCTTGTTTATCCAACCAGCAGTTTAACAAACAAGGTTATTCCAATTACTGTAGAAGATAAGGAAAAAACAGCAAATATTTTTATTTGTAAAGCTGGAACCAGTGTATTTTTATTTTAATTGTTTACATAAACATTCAGTTCAGACAGCAGCAAAATAAATCCGTGTAAGTTACAAGCTTAATGATTATGATCACAGTGATTGACTGAATTAGTGTAAATGTTAATGTGGGAATATATTAGACATAAAATTGTAGATGGGGCAAAGGGCTATAAAACTTTGTTGCATGTCCATTGTTTGCTACCCTTTAATGTTTTTTCTGATCACATCTATCAGTTATAGTTTTTGTTTTCCCCTCTTTCATTTGGCATTACTCCGTTCAGTCACTGAGGTCAATTCTGATCTTTCTCAGCTGTGTTGGAGCAGAGATCAGATTTAGCCCAGATGACATCATATGCAGAGTTGGTTAATCCCAGGAAGAGGACTTTGTGTGTGGCGCTGATAGCTTGTTCCATCCACACAAGTCTGCAGAGGCTACCACAGGTTAAAATACAGAAACCACCACCTAATCCGTCATGACATAATCATATATTTGTACAAGCTTCAAGTGTTTTACTCTAAGAGGGATCCTTGAAATGGCATGTAACATTTCATCTCACACCCATTCCCGGGCTGTTGCAATTACAGGAGTTGATCCCGCTAGGCCAGTATGCTGGTAGCTCTGATATCGGCAAATCTGTAAGCTCTCAGCTTTCAGCAGCGGCTAGTGTAAGTCAGTTACCACTATTAATATGCCCATCACGTCCATCATCTCTGCAATGGTTGTCATAATTTAACTGAGAGGCTAGGCAATGATGCTGGCTGTAGAAATAGTGGTATGTGATTGGTTATTGTGGTCCTACATTGTTGCATGTGAGGTAATCTGTTTACATGCAAATATGAGTATGGGATAAAAATGCTGAAAACTACAGTTCTGGACAACTTTTCAACAACTTTACAACAACTTCTCTAGGCTAAGTCCTGCAAGTTATTTATCAGGCAGCTCTTGGATCTTGTGATGGAGATTTTATCTAAATGACTGATTAGTTGCAGTACTGAGGTTGTCCAAACTTCAGTTTAGCATAATAGTATAGACAGCTGAGATGTAATAGAATGGAAGATAGTCTGAGCCTTTTTATCACATACTAAATTAACTGGTAGAACAGTCCCATAGGTAAAAACTAAGGCGACACCTAGACTGCATGATTGCAAGAGAATATGTCACAGTTTTGTGGCAGTCACAAAAGAGTACAACAGGAGATATTTCTGTATCAATTATCTGTCTCAGACCTCAGACCTAGTGGCTAGTGTCAATGCACTTACCTGATCAAGGTTAATTTGATTCCCTAAATCGCATAAGGTAGATACAGATACACTTAACCCAGATATACAGAAAGGCACACGGCTGCAGCGCGTAACAGCTGAGGTGGAGAGGTTACTGCAGCAGCAGGTCAGACAGGAGAGGGCCCTTCTGCCCTGTGGGCCAGCTGCCCTGGACACAGGCCAGCACACTTGGTAAAAGCTACCCTCTGCGCAACACTGCACAGGGTAACCAAAATTTACTGTCCAGGTAAGTATTACAACAAGATGAAGTTAAATCTGAACTGTTGAATCATCAGAAAACAGCTTTTGTCTTTTGTTTTGCCCTGCAAATGATGCATTGCACAATGTAGAAGGCAGCAGAGGTTTCTATGATAATAGGGTGATGAGGTAATGGATGTAGCTGACTTTAATTTTTGGATTTATGCTTGGGGAAAAATACCCCTAACACATGCCCTTTTTGTTTATCTGTGTGTGCAGCCCTGCCGTGTCCGGGGTGCATGTCGACACAGGGAGCAGATCAAAGATTATTTGATATGGACAGGAGCTGTGAAAAATCCTCGTCATATGCAGAGATGTTACATCAGACATTTGCAGCTTGGCCCTGGTCATTTACACAGCCATAGCTTAGCCCATCTGCTGGGAATAGAGATGACTCTTAAGTACGTAAAGCTGCCATAAGCCTCTGTTTCCTATTGTAAGCTGTTTTAAAGGGTCCTGTGGTTTGGTGCCATCTGTTTTGATTCATTATTTATATATTTTATATTTTCTTTCCCTCTCCTCGCTGGCATGGCCTGACTTGTGCGAGACGTGCTCGTTGTCCATGTTCATGTGGGAGGTGGATGACGCTACAGCAGTTCCCCGCTCCGCCTCCCAGACTAGTCACGTGTTTCCTCCCACAGGCCTTCACTCCTCTGTATTCATGCCTCCTGTCTTCCACTCTCAATTTCTAGCCCCCGGTATGCACAGTGGCTGCTTACTTCTCCAGCACTTTTTCTTGTTGGCATCATTTTGGAGCAGGATGGTGAAATATGTAGTCTCTGAGATTATCCACAGTTTTTGTATGGGATGTTTTGAAGTTCTCCGTATTTTTCATGTTGGCATCATATGGGAACAGGAGAAGGCGTCTGTTCTTTCTTCAAGTGTTGAAAAACATCAGTCATCTTTATTTCATGTTTGAGGTTTTTGGTCAAATTATTATAAGCTCATACACCTCCTTAGCTAACCTCGTCATCTGTGTTTGGCTCCTTTTTCTTTGTGCTTGCAAACCAAAACCAAGCTGGTAAACTGCATAGTTCCTGCAGTGTTTGCCAGATGTTTGTTATTGTACAGAACATCTAACCCTACATTGCTTTGTTGCATGATGTACTGGCTTTTATCATTTATTGTTTCCCTTTTATCAAAGTGTCTTAAAGTGACTGCTTGACTAAAAAGTACTGAATTTTTTTTGCTTTTGATAATGTAATTAAGCCTCACTGATAGTGAATTCTCAGTAAATGCTTACCACTGCATTGACATTAAAATATATATATTGTGAAGTGTTAAGATAGTAGAATAATAGTAGATTAACATATTATTGCAAATAAACTGAGAATAATAGATAAAGTATGTTGGGACACTAAAGATGCATTTAGTTTGGGGCAGTAAAGCTATTGTTGGTCACAAGGATACATTTTGGATGAAGCCATATTGTCAAGGCTCCCTGCAGTGAAAATCTTAGATGTTTAATTCAGGGTTTAATCACATCTGTCCTTTGCATGTTCCCTGCCTGCAAATGCAGCTCCCTCCCTCAAAGGACAAGCGCTCATACAAAACTGGTTATTCCCGTTAGCCAATCATGTTTTTGACTGACACAGACCCACCTACTTAAAACAGAGATGTGTTGGAATGGAAATCTCAACAACAATATTCCTCCGTTAAAGGGTTTTTGTTTTGGGGAGTTTTTCCTTATCCGCTGTGAGGGTCCTAAGGACAGAGGGATGTCGTATGCTGTAAAGCCCTGTGAGGCAAATGGTGATTTGTGGTATTGGGCTTTATAAATAAAATTGAAATTGAAACATATTGATAAGTATCTGAGGAAACCCTTTAATTTTTTTCCACCAATAGTACAATTAATAAACAAGCAGTCCACAAAACGATCTTTTGATTGAACCTTAAAGTGAAACCAGAGAACACATCCCATAGGACTGAGAATGGCCATCACAAAATGATGGAAAGTCCCTTATTGTGCTGAACAGGGCTCATACTTGGTGTGTACTCCTACGTGCTAGTAGGGCACAAGAAGAGAAAATGCTCCTGATTTAATAAAGGCCTAATGGAGTGAATGTGGGAGCTTAACAGCTTTCAGCTTTTAGTTTATATAATTTAAAATAGAAGTGCTTTAGAATTAGATGCACATGGAAAACATTTTTTTTAGATAAAATCTCACTTCAGACACTTCTTGAGAAGCTGCTAGGCTAAATAAAAGTTTTGGCATTTTTGTAAATGTGTATGTAGAGCATTAAGGTTAAAACACAAAGAGCAAGCTTCACTCTCCATGTTTATTTTCTGTCTTTAAGAACTAATTGCCCCACAGTAAATGCCACCAACCATCTTATTTATGGCTGTTTCATATTGCTTGGCATATCAGAGCTTATTCTATCACTTAACAAACAGCATACAGTTCATCTTTGGACCCAGGTAAAGCCAGTATTGGTTGTCAGTATGTGAAAAGGGGACTGCGTACTGCTATTGTGGCCAAGGGCTTTAGCACAGACTGTGACACAGCTATTGAAGATTAAGGAAAGGAATTAAGTTGGGTGTGTGTTTGTTCTATCCTCCTCACGTTTGTCTATAATGCCCTTGTCATCATAAGAGTGGGGTTAATCAGATTACATTTTAGGTTGTAAAGCTGGAGCTAGCGATATAATGAACAATATGTCCCAGTGGGTTGATTATCAGCCTTGTCATCACAAAAGCCTGCTGTTCACCAGCTGGAAATGCTCTTTATCCTCTCACATCCCACAAGTCTGACCTGAGACTTAATTTAAGTTATATTAGGCGTTGATATAAGGACAACATTGTATTTAAGTTAATTGCAGGCTGAGGTGATCATGTCGATGTGCATGCAAAGTTGTCTCTCACAAACTCTTTTTTTAAATACACAATGCTATGTTTTCCCCATATAGATACTTTCCCCTGTAGGGTTAACTGAGCCAAACAACCAACATGTCATTTAAGGTCACGAATATAACTGCTGTGTTAGCTATGTCATATTTAACTCTCCTTTGTTTCTTTTTTTTCTCTTCTCTTTCAGGAACCTATAAAGTCCAGGGCACCACAGCTCCATTTGGAGTATAGATTTTACAAACAGTTGGGAAATTCAGGTAAGAGACAAGGCAGTCTGTTAGACAGCACTGTAATAATGAGTTAAATATGAATGGGCCTTTTCCTGCTAGATTGGGCTGGGCAGTGAAAATGACTTGCTGTTTCGTGTTTACAGGTTGCTGTTGTGTTTGAGATATTAAAGAAGGCAATATTAGGGCATTCATGGCTACTGCATTTTAGTACTCATCCACTATTCCCAAAACTGGTTCCTTGGCCGCTCTGCAGTGCACTCGAGTTGGTTAACCGTTGACATCCTTAGACTAGTTGATTAATCGCACAAGAGATGTCATTGTTTTCACCTTGTAACAATGGTCAGTTCTTATTAAAAAACATCTTAAATACAATCACTAAAGGGTTAACTAATGAAAGCAGCACCCACCTAGGGATAGGTGAAATAGCAGTCTTTGATTGGCTTCGAGAGGCTGTTCACAGCTGAGCAGCATCCTGATTGGCCTAAACCTTGTATGAACTGAAGATACTGTTTGACTACAGTGACAATGCGACTGCTTTCTTGAAGGGATACCGGGAGTCTTGTCCTTTTTAATACCTTAAATTCTGTTTATTTAACATGCCGTAACGTTGAAAATGATTGTTTAAACAAATAAGCCAGTATGTTTACTGTGTATGTGTGTGTGTGTGTGCGTAAGGAGTGTGTGGTACAGTGAAAGAGAGATTGACAGCAAATGCGGTGTAAGCGGGTAAGAGAGTGATCAGAGCAGAGGAGAGTTTAAGATATCAAGTCAATTTTACACCAGAGTTCAGTTTGTGCGTTAATAAATGCTGCAGCTCCTCAAGGCCAAGTTTCACAGTATAACGTCTATCCACAGCACCCCCCAGCTGCATATCTGCTGAAGATCCATTGCCACTGCTTTATTACTGAACCATGCTAAAACCACAGATGAAGGATTAGTCGACAGCGTTGACTAGTGGTTTTGATTGTTGACTAGTCAGCTATTCTGTGAAACCCCTAGGCAATGTAACTGTCATCACAGTGATTTTAATGTGGTTTTTATTGAGTTAAATCTGCAGCAGTAGTCTCTAGTTCAGTATTATGAGTGTGAAAGGTTCACTTGTGAGAGTATCAGAGTTTGTAATCGGGAATAATGGCACACTGGAAATGGATGCCTTTTCTGAGAACACGTCAACAAATGGGAGAGAAAGAGGAGGACAAAGATTTAATCCCTGAAAATGTTGACACTGATATGGAGTTGGCGAAATATGTTGATTTTACTCAGCTGAGTGGATTTTTTTTTTTTTGTTGGTAAATCTGTTTTAATACCATGCCACTGGTATTTAGCTTATGGGAGACTATTTGTTTACATCAAAGATTATATACTATAATGCAACAAATGTGCTCATATTTTACTATTCTGGCTGTTACTGTGGAAAATGTGACTTGAGTAAATATTTAATTTAACCTCTAAGTGGCAGGTCTTCAGTTGATTTGTATAGCTTTTTGCTCATCAGGTTTTTGTATTCATACAAATATGATTTACTGTCCTCTGTAGTCATCCAGTTAGCTCAGATTGTGTTTATTTTGGAAAAGCTTAGTTTTCCCCTGTAGCGTGAGACCTCTGTTTTCAGATTTACAGCATCTATTCAGGAGAAAGAACTTTTTTTTTTTTCATGAGAAAATTACCAGCGTAGTGTTGATGATGGAAGGCAAAAATGAAGGGGAAAGGATGCAGTTTTAGATGTGGACATGAAACAGGGAAACAGACACACAAACACAACTCCAGCAGCTTCCAGTCTACTTGAGGCTAAACTTCACAGTGTGTGTTTAGTTTATTTTTCTACATCTGTGGGAACCAATGGATGCTATGAAATCCTGCTTCCTCTTTTATAATCCCACCTCCACAGTACCCAGATTCTTTCCTCTCCTACAGCACTGCCCAGAACATGTTAATGTGCTATGATGCATTGCTGTGGCTCCAGGGCAGCAGCTCTTTGATCTGGTTTGGCTGGTCAGTTAGTTGCAGAGTGTGAGAGAGAAGGCAACGTCAGATGGTTGGGAAGGACCGGGACTTGATTATTTTTTATTTTCTCCCACAGCACTGCCAGGCTGTCTGTTGTTTGGGAAGGTTCACCTGTCATGTTTGTGTAAGTTTGTGTGGATGCATGTGTTGATTTGGCCGGCTCACAACACTCATGCTCAGTCTTTAATTCAGACGCCATATGCAAACATGTCACCACTACTTAGTCGAGCTGGCAAGAGGGAGAGGTGCAGACAAGAGGTCCGTGCAGTCTTCCACTCTGCAGCCACCCACACCTGCGTGTCTCATCAGTGTTTTTTTTTGTCTCTTCTCCCAGACCAAGTCCTTTATAACTGAGTAAATGCAGGTACCAAGTCCCAACTGACATTTTATTTTATAATGTAAAGTAGGCTAACTTAGTCTGTTAAAGGGTAACTACACCCTTAAATTCTGCCACAACTCTCCCTCCCAGCATTTTAAAAACACCAAAGAGAAGTGAGGGAGCAAAGACTGTAGCAGATGTGGCCTCGTTGCTACGTAGTGTGTGACACGGAGGGTCCTGGGACATGGGAGACACTGACTGACCACTACTCAATGTAGCGTGGACAGCAATGTGGAGCTGGTAGCCAGAGCCAACCAACCATGAGAAGCTACTGTAGGACTCTGTGTTTCTCTGCTGGAAAGACTGGTGGAGCCTTTAAAGTCAGTATAAGCACATTTATGGAGCTTTTAGCAAGTTTTGTCTGGGTACCTGGGTAGCTGCAAGAGTGACAGTATAGACATATCTTATACAATTATGTGGGTATGCTTTTATATTTAAGTACATTTGTCTTTCTGTGACTATTGCAAGTGAGCCAATCTTCTCATTGCAGTGATCCTCCCTTGTCTGATAAGTGTGTGTGTGTGTGTGTGTGTGTGTGTGTGTGTTGTGGTCTAATTTAGTGACACGTGCCAGCTTCTTGGCTCCTTGTGCCAGAGCAAAAGCCCTCACTGTTGATAAGGAGGTGGGGCATTAGGGCAGTCCTTGACTATTTATAGATGGCCCTCTACAAGCAGTCGGGCCATTATGGTGTGTCTGCTTGGATAGCTTCCCTAGCCACAGTATCCTCTGCCTCCCTGATTGACTGTGTGCTGCCTGCAGATTGCAGGGAAACTCTGTAACGTGCATTGCTGACAGGGTGTGGCCTATTTTTTTTTTCCTTTATGGCTGTTCTTGTTTTAATCGGTCATTCTGATCTGTGAGCACATTTTACACAATGCATGCCCACACGTATATAAACTCAACAGGAAGTGTAATTGTCACCTCCTGTGCCATTTCCACTGATTATAGCAGAGGATTCCTCCAGTCCAGGCTTGCCTCTCTCTGCCTTTAGTTGTTTCCTCTGGAGCATTAAACACTTCCTGTACATCCCTCCTGCCAGTGAGACCACTGCTGGCCTTCAGCCTGACTCTTATTAACTGAGGTCTGGGGTTGTGCAACATGTAGAAATGTCCCTTATACACAACCAGAGACAGGATATATTCACAGGTAGGAAAACAGAACCTGCTGATGTGATGCCATTAAAGTGTTTTCAGATGCATACTAAACATTATTATTTACATAATTTCAGTTGTGATTGCTGCTGTACACCTTTTACAGATGTACATTGCAAGTCAACATTATGTACCAGATAGACATGACTCACCTCACTTTCTAATTTCACTGAAATGGGAAGGCAGATGGCACATGGTAAAACAACATGTTCAGGAGCAGAGCCTAGACTAGGACCATGATGTATTTTCAAAAAGAAAGAAATCCCTATGATACTGCTATGAATTTTTTTTTTATAGAAATGTATATACTCTATTGACCTGACCTGTACAGACTAACTGGTATTTTTATGTTTTAAAATGAAGAGATATTAGGCCCATTTATTTTGGCTGAAACAGCTAGTGAGATCTTGTTGCTTTTTAACATAATATGAAAATGTTCCAATACAACAGGTGGTGTGACGTGTTGCATAGCATAGCTAAAGTCTGACTGGCAGACAATGAGTGTGGAAATCAAGGACACAATTAATGATGAATGTTTTAGCCTTTCACTATTATGATACTTTGAACAGGAGTCAGAATATTAATGCGACAAAGTAAGGCATGCAAATGGTATCAAAAAATCATCTGACTAGGGTTCAGCTAAATACTGATTCCTATATATTTATCCTGTGTTAAGATTATAAATTGCCTGATTTAAAGACACTTTCAGTAGCTCTTCTATCATCTTGAAATTGAGTATTGCCACACAATTAAGCAGAGAGGTCTTGTCTCAAGATGATGACTGGCTACTCTGTGATGATATGACAGAAAGGCTCACTTGACTGTCTTGCATGGGAGGAGTCAAGGCTATAGATTAAATCTACTTATGTTGTCAACTTTGCTAAATGAGGACATGTGACCCTGTTCATCCTGCACAACCCAAGAGCCTCAAATATGTCACAGCATGGACGACTCAGCGCTTAATGCCCAGGAGGAGCTTATCTGCACAGTGTTAATTCTCCTGTGTCCTGAACAGATCACAACAGTTGGGAGTCCTGCCTCCTAGTTCACAGAATTTCTTAAAAACTGACCTGGTATTTCAGTTGCTCTTATAGTAATAGCATTACTACTAATTGTCATATAGCAGTTAAAATGTGCTGGTAATAGTAGTAGTCTTGTACCAGTCTGCCAAAGAGTATGTGGCTTCCTCTTCAGTCACTTTGCCACTGTTGTCAGGGGAGAGGCTGCAGAAATGGTGTCCTGTTTTTATGGTCCATCTGTCATTTAATTATATTTCACAGGCCGATGTAGCTCAAGCAGTCATGTATACATGATTGTGTGGAGGTTACTGTCATTGATGTGACATATAAGTATGTAATTTCCTCTTGAATATTATTCAGTGATGATTATCAGCATCCCTGTGAATATTCATAAACCCCATCAAGGCTTTCGAGGGCACGATATGCCGTGTCGCTGACACAGGGTCCATGTTAATGATATTATTTTATGCACATCATGGATTCTTATGCATGCCATGTGGATAGTTTTACAGATGAAAATCAGTTTATGTGTTGACTACTGATGCAAGATTGTCCTAGTTTGAATTGATAAGATTATTTTAATAACTCATCAGAAGCTACAGCATGGAGATGGATGCACCATAGCAACAATAACAGAAAAAAATGTCAAGAGGCAATTCATATAATTATATCATAATGAATTTACTAGTTTTAATAATTAAGTACTTTGTCATGATTTGTAAAAATAGCACAGTATAAGGTGTCACATTCCACAGTGACAAGATAATGGATTTGTTTTACTGTGACATTATTATTGTTCCACGGTAATCTATTTTTTAATGGTGGCTTGAATAAATGTTTATGTAAGTAAGGCATCATTTCAGCATCTATGTATATGTATGTCCAATAGTCTGTGGAACATTATATAATCCCTAGCACTGCTTCAGAAAGTGACAATTTTCTCATGACTAATCTTAAAGAGAAACAGACCAGTCAACCTGAAAATAACTTGAAGAAAGTACTATGTTAACTTAGAGAAAAACTGTCCTAGTTTAAAGTAAGCAAAATCATTGCTTGAGTGATATCTCATGGAGCTACTGAAGTGTATAAGCTGCAAAATATCTTGTAGGACTCTTTATTAACTTGATAAAAACAGTTACGTTGTCATATAATTTTCCCCACCAGGCAGTCGGCCCTATGGTGTTTTATGGGATTGTTGTGCTCATAGGCTATGTTGCATTTGTAGCTTCAGGCTCAGTCTGTGCAAGCCCAAGTGCTGATCACATTTCAGGCTTGTGAGAACATCTCCAAAGCACTGGGCCTAATGGAAGTCACTTCTTCTTCTCCTCTTCTCTCAGTGCACTCGACTCCATAATCTAAATCTTTAATACGCATTCCCTGTCCTCCCCCTCTTCTCTTCTCCAGCCCTCTCCTCTTTGGCCCTTAACTCTGACATTTCATTGTAGGGCAACATTGTCTTCAGCTGCCATGATGCAGCCTCCCCTCTCACTGTGTCGCCTGAGAAGGCCTGCCTGCAGATACAATAGGTTGGATTGTCTCAAATTGTCAAGACAGCGGGGGTCAGAGCACCGCTGACATTGGCTTGCAATGAAAGCCAGAGCGTACTCAATAATACTGAACACAGTTGGGTGTATTTTTTGATATGACTTTATATAATAGAATTACAGACATTTACCTTCACAGGAGGGATTCAGTTTGCGTATTGTGAATCATTCAGAGAAGCCAGCCACTAAAATTGTTTGTTTGGCCTTTAGCTTTTACAGAGAACAATTTCTTTCCCTATCAAAATGATTATTGGCAGTCATGCTTCATCATTTTGTTGCTTTTGAAGTGCTCACTGTTTTCTGTGAGAGAAAATGTGTTGCACTGGAGAGTAATTTCACTGTTTTGTTTGGTTGTTACAGTTGAGTTAGTGTCAACCATCACATCACAAATCATCTCACGTATCCTATTTTGCACAGCTATTGCTGACAAGTGAGATCACAGTATATTCTAAAGTTTAGACAGAAGTCACCCTAAAAATGTGCCGTGGACTGCTTCCACCAGCCATATCTAGATTGGTGCTTACAGCTGCTGTAAAGCACAAATCTCTGCTCGCATCCACCAGCCGAAGATAATAATACACTGTGTGCTTTTCCTCTTGTGATGACTGTGCTTTGAATGCCCTCTAGATTTGGGCCAAGCTTTGATGAGTCAGCCCTCCCAGTGATCTCTTGTCACTGCCTCATCTGTCATGGGCTTCATTACCAGGAAAATCCTGAAGACTAAAGGGCAGACAGGTGTGTTTGTTTACGTATGTCTGCTTACGTGCATACGTGCGTGCATGAGAGTTTGTGTGTGTGTGTGTGTGTCTGCATCTGTGTATGCACAGTGTGTCTTGTTGCCCTGTTGGTCTGATGTCTGGGGGTAAATCAGGTAAATCCAACTGTAAACTCTGTGTCCCCCTGGCTAGCAGCTGGCACACAGTCCAAACTGAATACTTCCCATTCTGAGCTCTCATTTATCTCTATTACACATTTATTCATTTTAAGTACAGTACAAATGCGCTTGCCCATTCTCTCAGTCTCTTTCCCATTTTAATCTGTACCTTGATCTCATTGACTCTCTTTATCTGACCGTGTCACTGTCATAGTGCTGCTCTGTCTGCTGTTGTGGCAGTACTGATGTGGTATGTCAGAGTTAGTGAGCTTTCAGGGAGATGGCTGGCACGGAGATACTAGGTGTTGTGTTTACATGCACCGTTAAGTCAAGCTACGGTTATAGCTCGACTAGCCCATTCAGTTGGATGACTGTTCTTGTCCCAGTGTACAAGCACGGGAGGGGAATCAGTTTATTGACTGAAGTATGTCCGATTCCGCTACCATCGATGGCTGCATGCCCCCCTTGTTAATATTGGACCTTTTTCTGGTTGACCTATTACGTCACAGACTATACAATCTACAGAGTTAGCTATGGTTAGCTAGCGGCAAACTGGTACCACAGTGGACAGCTCTGTACATTTCTTCCGTCCAAAAATGCATGGTTCTGGGTAAAGACTTTGCCATGTTGTTACCGGTTTCTTCTTCTGTTATGCATTTAATGCTTTCGACTTATGGGTCAAAGCCTGGAGTGGACACTTTGGAGTATGCGCTTAGAGCCTCGGCCAGTTTGGGTATGATACTGTATATGTGCAGAAGTAATTCGACTCCTGATTGCATTATCTGGGTGTGTTAGACCGACTTTGAGATATTCAATTTAGTATGATTTCACTCGGACTTGCATGTATTTTTAAAGTCTGGTTTTAGTTGTACTAAAACAATACATCGATTTTCTCTAATGTCATCTAAACGTACCGAATGTGACAGAGCCCACTCTACAAGGACTAACCTGACAGTGAATATTGTGAACATGGAGACTGGTGGTTATGATTGTGTTGGGCAAAAATGTCTGTGAGAGTCATGAAGTTCCTCTGAAATTTCAGTGCAAGAGGGCTGACCAAAAGAAATGCCAGTGAGTGAAAACCATGAGTCTGGTTTTGTGTATACGTAGAATCTTTTTTCCAGTGAGCTGTTGCACGTCATTCAAGAGTGTTTGTGAAATACGATGCTGGTGTCTTAAGGGCCTCAGCAGTTCATTTTGTTGTGACAAAGCGGTTAAGTCTGTATCAGGCAGACTTTGGCAAACAGCAGCTTTATGCCCCTGTGAGACTGCTTGTTTTTTTAGTACCAAATGTGGCACCAAAATATCAATAAATTGTGAACTGGTTGGTGATTGTCAGATTTATGTATTAGTTTTATGTATTAGTTTTGACAAAATTAGAAATACAGTTTCTCTTTCTCTTATGTGCCTTATTGTTCCATCAGAAGGACAGACTGTAGTGTTTCGCCACACCCAGTTTTAACACCGTCAAACCGCTGATATCCATACACATGGTACATCTCACCATTTTGATCCGTCCACATTCTTTAGAAGTCATACACATTACCACATAAAGGGCGTGGTGGTTTCTAGTAGCAAAGGCTATTTGCAGTTGTTGACAGTGTGCCGCTCACCGTCACTGGTGTTTCTTTTAGACACCTTTCCTTTTAATCCTTTGGAGGAGGGAAAGAAATGTAAGCCATGCCCTCCTCTGACAAACCTGTTGTGGGAAGCCAACTAAAGTTCAGTTTGTCATCGCTGCTGTAGTGTCAGTGAAGAGTCTCCTCCCACACTTTCTTATCAACAGACCAGGTTGATGATTCAGTTCAGCATATGAAGCACCTTTCATGGCACTGTCTTCTCACTTCACATTACACTAGTATTGTGCTATGTGGCAGTACTTTAAAAATGGGAAGTTTTAAACCCTTTATGTAGTGCCAGTGACATCTTTTTTTTGTATTGGTTTTGGTTCATTTGACTCAGATGAGACAGGAGCTTGGGAAACGAAAAAAAATGAGAAACAGTGCACTGACAACATTGATATGTCACAATATTCTGATGACCTCAGCAGCTTATTCATGTTGCCACGTCAGTGCTCATTAGGTACAACATTGCAGTGTTATTTACTCAATTTAGTTCTTCAAATGAAGATAAATTACAAATATCAGACCATTTGAAGCTTGTAAATCCCTGCGTCTTTATCTCTGACCTTGTGGTTGAGTGGTTTCTGGTGCTTTTTTCCACATGTGCTGTTCACACCGAAAACAAAACTCATTTTCAGGTGAGAAGAATAAAAGTACCCATTAAAGAGAGTTATTATTACAGAAGTCCAGTAACTTTTATGTGTGTGTGTCTCCACAGAGGGAATCCCTCAGGTGTACTACTTTGGTCCTTGCGGGAAATACAACGCCATGGTGCTGGAGCTGCTTGGGCCCAGCCTAGAGGACCTGTTTGACCTCTGTGACCGCACCTTCTCCCTCAAGACAGTCCTCATGATAGCCATACAGCTGGTAAGGCCTCAAGGAGGAGCACAGCAAGCATGTATTTAAATGAGCTAGCTTTTGTGACATCAAGCTTTACAGAAAACATGGTGCAACATTGCCTTCAATACATACATATAATGGAGGGAATGCTAACTAGTGTACGCAAAGCATTTTTGACACTACTGTAGTTTGGAATAAATATTTGAAATTGGCAGTCATCATAAATCTTAACACTTAAGCTGAAAGTAATAATGTAATAAAGCTGTGATGTTTGCTCAATGGGTGTGTGTCTAGATAATTGATTTGATTTTAAATTTCCATTGACTAATTTTGATCTGTTTATTGCTCATCTAGATAACACGGATGGAGTATGTCCACACCAAGAGTCTGATATACAGAGACGTGAAGCCAGAAAACTTCCTGGTTGGGCGGCCCGGAAGCAAGAGGCAGCACACCATCCACATCATTGACTTTGGTCTGGCCAAAGAGTACATAGACCCCGAGACCAAAAAACACATCCCTTACCGGGAGCACAAGAGTCTGACTGGGACGGCACGCTACATGAGCATCAACACACACTTGGGAAAGGGTAAGAAAGTCTAGTTTAGTAATCCCTTTAAATTTGCATAGATAAGTTTTGCTCACATTTACATCCAGTTTAATGAAGATGTCCTAACTGTATTGTGTACAGATGCATCACAAGTATTTACACAACATTAAAAACAAATGCCTTTTTGACCTGATTTTACAAACAGTCATTTCAAGACTTTTCTTAATTTCTTCTGTCTTTAGTAAGATTTATCTGATTCATTTCTTGGGTATTTTGAAGCATTTCCTCCTCTTTCCTCTGGCAGTGGTGACAAGCCATGTGCAATGGAGAGTCAACAGTCTGTGTGTTTCAAGTCCAACCAATCACCTCAGGAGTTCATTTCACTGATTAGTTCTTCCCCTCTACTTGTCAGAGTGCTAATCAGTGTGAAAGAACCAGCAGACTGTTGGCTCTCTATAGCACAGGATTGCCCCCCTCCCAGACTAAATTATAGCCTTTTATACTGTATGTGGGTTAATTTGAGCTCCTGAATAATTATGCTATAGTTCCTACTGCTTACTTGCCTGGTAACCTTGCCAGTTTGTTATAAAATGAATTTCTTTCTCACTGGTAACATAATTTTCATCTTGTTCTGTCTTTTCTAGAGCAAAGCAGAAGGGATGATTTGGAAGCGCTGGGTCACATGTTCATGTACTTCCTCCGAGGTAGTCTCCCCTGGCAGGGCCTAAAGGTACAGTAGCATACTGTTTGACATTATCAAATGTTGGCACACACTGATTCACATCAGACTCTTGTAATCCTGGTAATGCTCAGCATAACGATGTACCTCTTCCTGCTGCACTCCTCAGTACAGTGTCTTTTTTCATACATGACCTCTGGGACAGAGCACCTGGTGTTTACAACATCATCTTTTCATGCTGGTGACATTTCAAGGTTGCTCCACTGATATATCTGTACCGTTTCTTAAACCCATAGAAGTAGAATAAATAGCAAGGACATATGTCAACTGTTGGGCATGGTCAGTTTGACTTGTGCAAAAGAAAACGGCAATTGTTGTTAGTTGTTATGGTGACAACACACAAAGTGGGACTGTAAAGTGTGTCCCACTCACTAGTTTTTGAGGTCGGTATTGGATGTAAGTTTCTCTCTTCCACCAAACTAAGACTGACGTTAGCTTAATTGCCTTCTTAACTCATTGTAAAACACACTTCATTCAAACTCCGCAGAAACAAAATAAAACTCACCAAAACTGTCTTAAGCACTATTCGGATGGGATTAGTTTTACATGGGCACGTGGGGTAATGTCACTTTACCACAGGACGTCAGTAATATTAATGGCCGATTCGCATGGGATAAGAAATATCAGTAAAACTACCACAAGTGGGAGGGGTAAATCCATTCACGCACTGCCGTGCCCTCCTGCCATCATGAGCGTATGATAGGACTGTCAAAAGCACCATGAAATTGAGTTCGAATATTTTCGAATTAATGTAGTAGAGTTCGAATAATATTAGAATTTATTATTATTATTATTATTATTATTTATTTATTTTTACAAAAAAACACACAAAAAATAAGATGCTTATTGCTGACACAATATGAACGTGACATTCGGATGAAAACACCCGTTCTGACCTCACTATAGTGCCAGGTATGATCAACTTCTGTCTCGCTATCTGAGCAATGTTTGGATACTTCAGTGCGTAGTTTTCCACCACAAGAGTGGATCCTGGTCGGCTCGTAGTGGTGTCTCATTCTGGTAACATTTCATCTCTTCAAAAAGGGTAGGCAGGGAGGCAGCAGGTACAATACTCTCCCTGTATGTCTCCCCGAACAGGTCACACATCGCGGACAGCACAGTGGGTGGTGTTGGTGCAGCAGACTCCATCGTCGGCGCCTTTCCCTCCCGCTGCGTCCCTCTCTGGCCTGGCTCGTGCGCGAGCCATCTCCGCCCGAACGGGATTTGCCGTGATATACAACATTATTGATAGTATTAATTAATTATTAATGATATTCGAATTATCAAATTAAGGTTCGAACTTATAAAAAAATAAATATATTTGAATATATTTCTAACTTCGATTTTTTTTTTGACAGCCCTGACACATGTTTACTGCTGGTCTATTCGCACGGGATTAGTATTACCTGAGGTAATTGTCCTGGACCCTTTTACAGAAGGTAAAAGTCGCGGTAATCTTTACTGACATCGTGCGGTAATGATTACTGACATGGCACATTTGGACGAGACTAAAATCTCTGGTAATTATTACTTTACCCCTCGTCCCTATGCAAAACTAATCCCGTCCGAATAGGGCTTTAGTCTCATTAGTCATTTTTTAGTCTACTGGTCCAACAAACACCAATTCTGGTTTTGGTCAGGGGAAAAAAAGCCCTCAATTCACCTAGTTAGATGTGAAAATATTCTGATCTGCACGCTGCTAATCCCCGCAGTCTCTGCGTCTTAGCTGTCCACTGAGAAGCGTCTCTTACCTGTCCCTTTGGGGCAGCTACTGTACATCATGTTTCAACAAACATACCGTTATTGTCAACAAAAGAAACAGGTAAATAACAGAGAAATAACTGTGATTGATGTGATGATACACAACTATAAGGTGAAAGATATGGCAGGGTGGAGGCAACATCTTTGGTTAATCACTTGATGTAAGGTGAATTGTCAGTGTTGTCCCACTTACACCATAACCACTTGCTAACAAGCTGCGGTATATCATCAAATCCATGTATCTGCAGCATATAACAAATACTTGATCTCACTTGTTTGTTCATGAAAGATCATGACACAAAATTTCCTACTGAAGAGTTCCTACTTCTTGTGTTACAACAGCTGGTGGCAGGAAAGAGTATAACTTCTCCCCCCAATCACCACAAACCCACAGACCACTCCTTTAAACTCTTCAAAACTTGGGTTCATTACAAATCGACAGTAAAGAGAACTCCTGATTATCTGACATCCTAAGCAATAGGCAATTTTGTCTTCCTTTTTGAAAAGTAATTTGCCATCAAATAAAAAAAACAGTCAGTGACTAGAAAAATAAGGACTCTGCCCCTGTAGATGTGGGCTCTTCCTTGCATTTGCATACGTGCTGCTCCACATGCAACTAGATAAATCCACCTCCACACTTGCATTGCATTTGAACAGTTTACTGAGAAAGAGCTATAAGCACTAAGAAACACAGGCATGACGACAGGTGCCTGGAGGGCAGGTTATAGTTGCACAGAGTTGCTGGGCTGTTTGCGGGCGTCAAAATCAAAGGTGTACATAGAAAAGACTAGAAGACACGACACCTCATCTGAACATTTGCTATGTGGGAGGAAGCTTGTGGTGGATGAATGTGAAGGATGTATGAATGTGGGGGTTGACGGGCGGCTCGGGCCAAAACAAGTTCTCACCTACACACAACATGACAGTTAGCATCAGAATACAATGAGGAGTAAAGTGACCAGATGGAGTGTAATGGTATACAATCCTGCAGAGTCATTTTTGTGTGAGAGGTTAAGAGTTATCATCACCACTAGACTGCTGATGAGTGGACAAAGTTTTTCTGGTCTGATGAATCCCGTTTCGCTGTCGACAATAATAGACTCAGTGTGAGAACATCTCATGCATAGTTGAAAATGTCCAGGCCAGTGGGTGAAGTGCGACCATTTTGAATGCATTCAACTGGTATGAAGTGGGTCTTTTAATGTCTAAAACATGACACTGTGATGCCGAGGCATACCATAATATCATAGCGGGCAAGAATGATCCACCATGTGACCCTAAGGAGACTTTCCACAAAATAATACTCCCTGTCAAATACAAGAATCCTCCTGGGGTGGGTGGAAAAACATTCAGGTGACATGATGGACATGGACTGACCCCACGGCCTGCTGATATGAATAACATTTTTACTGTTGTGACAGTTGTGTACAGTCGACTTTAAACATCGTAGTGCCTCAGATCTCTTTTTGAGTCACTGTCACAGCTTGCGGCAAAAGTGGTCTAAGATTGTACTGGTGACTGCATGAAAGTCTAGTGCCATGGCAGACAACTTTCACCAGCCCTCAGTGCTGTACGTATCTGTGTTATGACTCAAGAATTCAGAATGACTAACCAGAGGATTTACATCTGTTTGCAACTCAAGCGCCCAATATATATCACATTTGAATATTACACCCATTCATTTACACTGCCTGCAGTTATGTGCTTGCCCAAAATTTGAGTGTCATATGTATTTTTCCCATCTCCCTTCTAGGCGGACACTTTGAAGGAGAGGTATCAGAAAATTGGAGACACCAAGCGAGCGACACCCATTGAAGTGCTTTGTGAAAGCTTCCCTGGTCAGTATAACCAACCAGTTTCCTTTTGTTTTCCATCTTATTTAATTTCTTCTTCGTTCAATCAGATTTTTAATTTAACATATTCTCTTTTGCTACAGAAGAGATGGCCACCTACCTGCGCTATGTGAGGAGGCTGGACTTCTTTGAGAAGCCTGATTATGACTACTTGAGGAAGCTCTTCACTGATCTGTTCGACAGGAACGGCTATGTCTTTGACTATGAATATGACTGGGTCGGCAAATCACTTGTGAGTGCCTCTTAACGAAACCACTCATCCTCCCCCTCTTTTCCCTCTGAAATCATTTGATTGGACCATCGAGTCTCACGGCTGCAGTTGCTCAATTGCTCTCACTGTAATAATTTGTCACTAGATCATAACCGCTTCTTTTTGCAAAACCTTTTATGTGAAATTGCTCACATTATGGGTGCTGAATTCAACACTGTAGTTTTCCTCTTCATTTCCTTTAAATGAAATCTTATATATATATATATATATATATATATATTTCTATAATGTGTCAATGTTGGATGTTCATATCAAATGTGGCCAAAGTTTCAAATAATGACGTTAACATATGTTAAAGTAATCCCTGTGAGCAAAAACCTCAGGGTTCACACCATTCTAAATATTCTGCTTCCACTATTTTCCTTCAACTTTCATGACGAGCTCAAGTCAGCTTGTGACAGATTTGTTATTTGGTCATCTACTCCAGGCACACTACTGCAGGTGTTTTCATTATGTAGCCTACACTGCTACATGTAGCTGCATGCTATCGTCAGGAAAACTTGTAAACTTGTTTAGCAGTGTTGTTAATTTCTGTTCAGTTTTAGATCATATTCCTGCTGGAACATTTGGTTGTGTTTTGAAGCTTTAGAAAGTGCCGCTATATACAGTCATTCCTCGGCTGCAAGTACCCTGCTACATGTAGCAACGTGCTAACGTCAGGAAATCCTTATCTTGGTTGATGATGTTAATATTTCCACAATTCCGGATCATTTTCCTACTGGAGAAGCTTTTTATTGGTGATTTTTCATGGTAGAAAGAGCCACTATACTCCGTTACGGTCATTCCCCAGCTGCAATGATGGTGTAGAGACGAAGAGATGGAGAAGACCTGGAAACACTGACCAATCAGAGCAGACTGGGTTTTTTTGGGAGGGGGACTTAAGGAGACAGGCAGTAAAATGAGCATCTTAGACAGAGGGTGAATGCAGATGTTCCAGCACAAACAGCATGAGGAAAATGAAGTGTTTTTTGGACATTAAAGCATGTAAACATGTTCTAGTAGAAACCCAAAATACAAGTATGAACTGGAAACTGCGCATAGTAAGCTCCTTTTAAATTGTCTTCATTCTTAAACTGTTTTGTTGTGTTACCTGCAGCCCACACCGATAGGCCCTATCCCCAGTGACACGCCCCTGCAGCCCAGCAGCAGAGACAAAGCACAACAGCAGACCAAAAACCAGGTGAGGTCATCAGCATTAAAACACAACACACACCACACCCACCCACCAGTCTACCAACCAACTGACCGACCAGCCAGCCAGCCAGCCAGCCAACCCTGTCATTCAAGTTCCTGTGCCAGACTATTGTTGACACTGTTGTGTCCAAGAGTAATCAACTTCCTGGAAAAAAAAAAATGGCTGCCGCTCAGTTCCACTTCTCCTTCATTCCCCCACCTGTCTACAGTCTGACAGCTCGGCAGTGACATCATCTCTCTTCAAAGTCTCTGTCAGACAATAAGATTTGTACAAAATTGATGCTTCACCAGTAAATGAACTGACATGCATGACGCAGGTTCTCCAGCTGTGAAACAAAGCACCTTTTTTGGCTTCAGTTTATTCCTCACACCTTGCCACTCTAAGCTCCAGTCATTGCATGCATGAGTTGAAAATGCAAATTGCATTGTTCATACCAGTAATGACAAGCTATATGCTTAGTTTGTGACAAAGTGTTGACTTAATTTTTTTTTTATTTTATTCCTTTTACTGGCATGCTATCCGAGCCTTGTCTTCTTTGTTGGTTTATCTGAGGGGTAATAATTCAAGAGTTTAAGTAGACAATGATTCTGAAATCCGTCTGATAGACTCAAAGCATGGTACCAATCATGTTGTTTTATTTGATGAGTCTGACTCATTGTTTCCCGTAAAGCCAGACATAGAGTCCATTAGATTTTATGATTGAGTTATTGCAGTGGACTCTAACCTCTTTTTACTGCTCTCCATTTGACGTGATTGGCTTGGCAGCAACTTGCCACCTTTTTGAAGCTCACAAAGCCCCACCTCCAGTTCAGTGCTCGTTTCTCATGACTGTAAAAAGCTGCAACATCCTGGTTGAAACAGTCAGCTGCATCAAAAGAGAATGTGCTATTTGTCTGTGTAGTGTTTGTTGGTGGGAAGAGGATTAAATACATTTTTAGGTCTAAATGAAAGCACAATGTTTATAAAACAAAATTGAGCCTCTAGTTGAAGTAATGCTGCTATCTGATAAGAGATAATTTTCGGTGTTGTATTGAATATGCAGTGCTAGTTGAGGTGATCAAGGCTGTTTTCTTTTACTCCTGCATGACTTTATTAGTGTGTTGATCTGTGCTTCGCATAAATTTTTGCTTCCCTCTACTCCTCTATTAACATAGTTTGTCTTAACAAGCCTGCTTCTGCTTGGAAGATGTCTTCTATAATTTTTTTGTTTTTGTTCCTTTTTTTCATTCACTCCCCTCCTCCTTGTCCCTCCTCCCACCGAACCTCTACCCTAACCCCACTCCCACCTCATCGCCTCACCCTCACCCCCGACCCTTCACCCCACAACCTTCCCCTCCCCTCCTCCTCACCACTTCACGACCACCTGCCTCAACCCTTTTTGCTCTTTGCGTCAAGTCGCCTGAGCCCAAAGGAAGTGAGTCTCAGCCCACTCCAGTGACCAATAAGGAGACTCTGGGGTCGCACCTCACAGCTGAGCGGCTGGGGGGCTCTGTTCAGGTACTGCTGCTGCTACTGCTGCTGCTCTTGTGGCTAATGCATGAAGCCACATAGTTCTGTATGTGTCTGACCTCCCCCCCCTCTCACACTGACCCCACACTTGCCTGCCTGTCAGGTGCTCTGTCTGGACTCTCTCTTGTGTGTGTCAGCATCATTGTTTGAAATCCCTGTGTGTCAGTGCTTTGCTTGTTCAGTTTGCTTCATTCGCCTCATCTGCTATAGGCAGCCCACAGGAAGGCCCATGCAAAGGTGACATACAACAGCAGCTACCATGCAAACCTCATGAAATAAAGTTTCTTAAATCATTAGAAAAATCACATAAACTAAAAGACAAGCCAAAAGCAGCGAAGTAGATTTTTGTTTTTCACTTCCCTCATTTGTAAAAAAAAAATAAATAAAAATACAACAAAAATAGGGCAGTTTAAACTGTGAATTATTATAACTATTATTATTATTATTATTATTATTATTATTATTATTATTGCTGTTTTCCATGTAATCATTATTTCAAAAGGCCAGTTGTATATCATTAGAAACCAGAGGCTTCTGCAGTAAATATGGCACAAATCTGCCACCTAGTGTTGGCTTATAGAACTGCAGCTTTTGAAAGAGAGGTTTACCTTTTAATGTGTGTCCTAAAACAGTATCCACATGCCCATTTGTACATGACAACAGGTTTTGTTTTGCTGTTATTCCTCCTGTTTTAATGCAAGAAGACATGGGGGATATTTTTTGGAGTCCTCGATGTGCGAAATGTAATCCAAAGTTTATCTGAAATTAATGTGACATTTCAGCAGTTCGTGTTTGTTAGATCAGGTTGGTCTTTTTTGGTATGGAATTCCCTCTTTGTGTTTCCACAGTGTTTCCATGCTGAGCTGCAGTGGAAGGATGGCAACACAGAGGGAATTTTTCAACTAAAAATACTGTAACTGTGAAAGCTTTTCACTTGATGTGTCAACAAACTGCTGAAACCTAATTTTAGCTTTAATTGAACTTTGGGACGTACATTTACACAGGTTGAGGGCTCATCTCTAACATTAGAAAAGGACCTGTTATGAGCAGTTTGAAAAGGAGGATTGCAGCAAGCAAAGCCTGTTTCAGTGTCCATGTGGTACCTTGACTTTTGTTTTAAGACCAACACAGAAAAAAAGTTGAACCTGCTCTTTAAACTTTATGTGAAGTTGCTTTAGTCGGGGCATTCCAGGATACTGCTCTCCTTATCTGAGAGGGCAGTAGAATCAAGGTTACATATTTCTATGTGAACGTTCATCTCCACCCTGCAGTCAGCAGCTTGAAGTGAATGTCTGTGTGAGCAGTCTGGTGTCCTTTTTGTACTCTCGCAGGTGATGAGCTCAACAAATGGCGAGCTGAACACTGATGATCCCACAGCCGGACACTCCAATGCTCCCATCACCGCTCCCACCGAGGTTGAAGTGGCTGACGAAACCAAGTACGAAACAGCTGTCCAGATGCATAGAGGAGCAGTAGGGTTGGGGTTTAATAGCATTTTAATGAGTGCAAATCCAGTATAAATCCTTTTGCACTCCTCACTGAATCTCTTTAGGTTTAGCTTTTATTTGCAAAGACAATTGGGTGATTTCAACCTGTGAAAATAAAACCTTTGACCTTTAAACAGAAGGTTTACATACATTTAAGAGACCTGGCTACTCAGAGAAACCAGGTTATACAGGTAATCTGAAAACACCTGTGTAAGCATTAGGTACTGTACATGTGCGTATGCATGCAGCAGATAAGTAAACAGATTTCTCCTCTCCTTTGAACTTATGTTGGAAGCATTACTTACTAACTTTAACTCAAGTGGTGATAGAAGATGTTGCTATGTTGCTTCCTGACCTGTTTTATAAACAGCAGTTTACCATTGGAAGCCAGTGCATTCAGGATGTAAGAGGCTACTTTGTGTTGGTTTCCATTTTAGTCTGACTTGGATGCAATTATTTTAAATACAAGAACACAATTATGCCTCCTATGTAGTCTTTACCGGACACATGCATACTTTTAAAAAGCAGAGTAGAAACCTGGTTACCTGTACACATACAATCCCAAGAATCCACTTTCTCCAGGAGCAATGTCACTAGGGAAGATGGGTATTTCTAATCTGCTACTTCAACTATGGAGACCAGGTTTCTCGTCATTTAAGCACAAAAAATGTGTTATGTGTTTGTTACAACCCTGAAAAATGTGTCACCAACCACCCAGCCAGATTTCAATGATTTAAAAAATCATCAAGTATACAAAATTAGCTTTCAAAATTGTGGAAAAATAGGCAGTATTCTCTGCTCTGAAATGCTGGGGGTGTGTCCACTGATGGAACTGAAACGAAGAATGAGCTGCTGCGAAGCGACGGCCTCTCGTTAGCAGCTAACACATTAGCGCAGTAACATGTACACCCCAAATGTAAGAACGAGTGAGCTGCTTTTAAGGATGGCTACAGTGTGTCATTGAGGCATGATTTCAGGCCAGCCCAAAAAATTCTGGACACAAAAACAATAAAAATAGTGATAGGAGTTTAGTGAATCTGGAAACCACATCCATAATTAAACCAGCTATTGAAACCCAACCTTAACAAGCAGTGTTGTAAGCACTTTGTAGATATACCAATGTCCCATTTTCATGGATGTGTGTTTTGAAATATCCACTGTTCCTAAACTGAAGTCTTTGTTTGTCCTGCAGGTGCTGTTGTTTCTTCAAAAGGAGAAAGAGGAAAGCCCTCCAGAGGCACAAGTGAAAGAAGAGAACGGAGAGAACTTGAAACATTGTGGTCACTGTCAAGTTTTAAATGGAAGCAACTACACAGACCCCCCTCCTGTCCCTTATCTCTTTCCAGCTTCCCCCTCACCTCTTTATCCCTCTCACCTTATTCCCCCCGTCACTCTGTACCTCCCCCCTCTCGCGCTCTCTTTCTCGTTCTCAGTGCTCCCTGGCTACTGGAGAGTTGAAGGAATGTTGCAGTCCTACTGACTCCACAACAGACTCTTGATTCCTTTATCAACGAAAAATAAACGTACCTGCATTACAACGGGGGGCTTGAGAAAAAGTAAAAAAGCTGTAACAATGAAACTCGAATACCGTGGCGTGAATATGAAAAAAGATACTGTTTGAAACAGTTATTGTCTACAGTAGATTCCATAAGAAGGCGTATTGTTCCAACAGTCAGCTGTTGATCAGGGGGAACCATTCGAGTGGTTCAAGTCAAAGAAATCTGCTCCTTAGGAATTTTTATTTTATTTTCTTCCTTTGGTGTGTGTTCTGGGATCAAGGTTAAGAGAAAGGTGAACTATGCTGTTGTTAAATCTGAGCGACACAGGAAGCATTTCATCTATAAAACAGAATCTGGAGGATTTTATGGTTTGTTTGTTTTTTTCCCTTTCTTTTTTTGTAATTGAATCCTCAGTTTTCGAAGTCAAATCCCTACATTGAAAAACTCATTTTTATGTTGTAGTGTTTCTGGAGTTCAGTTCTTTTCCTCACTCTGGCTTTCTTTTTGTCTGTCAACGTGGACTTTGTAGCACAGTCACTGGCCTCAGGTACTGTGGAAGATCGAGAGAAACAGATATTAAGCTCTCTTATTATTATTGCACTTTTGGGAAAAAAAAGAAAACAATTACAGTGGAAAACTTTAGGTTTGAAATTAACAATTAAGAAAACAACTTAATAAAGACTGATCTAGGAAGAGTCCTTCACAACGCTTATATCTGAGTTATGGCCGAAAAAATGTTGTCGATTTACATGAAAAGAAAAAAAAAGATATGTCTTTCAATTTTTATTTCTTACATCAAAATAATTTACCAGGAAATCATAGTTTGTGCCTTTCTAAGTAAAATGTTTAAAGCTCAAGTGAGTGTCCCGCCATGACATTTTATCTAATCTGTCCCAAATGCTCACTGGATTACTGTGTGTGTGTGTGTGTGTGTGTCTCTGCCTGTTTATGTGTGTGTGTGCTCTCAAATGTGGAGGTTTTTGTATGTGAATATGTTTGATGATGGTGTGCACATCAGTTGCTCTCACATATAAGCAGTATACATCCCCTCATCCTATGCTGTGACAATCGACACATCTGTACAGTGGTGTTTGGTTTGGAGCAAGATCGGGACTGTGCGTGTGTGTGTGTGTGTGTGTGTGTGTGTATGTGTGAGTGAGTGAGAGAGAGAGCTCCGAGAGACAACAACCCAAATCTGTTGGAACTGTTGTTTCATTTTGTCAGGAGGTCACAGACAGACATGCAGCTCAATGAGGTTGACTTGTTTATGAGGTAAAGCTAATGGGCTGCTGTTTCTGAGCCTGAAAACAAATTAACCTTCCCCAAATTCCAAGAGCATTGAACTGGAAATGAACATTTGCCCTTTTTTTGAGTCCCTAGCTGCTGCTAATAACCATAGTTTCATGTAGGGTTGCAACTCATTACTTTCATTACCTATTCATCTGCTGAGCATTTTCTCAATTGATCGATTATAAACATCAGAAAACGCCCAAAAGTGCTCATGGTATTATCCAAAGCTTAACAGTCATGTCTTTAGATGTGTTGTTTGGTCTGATTAACAGTCTAAACCCCAAATTTGTTCAGTTTACTGGACCATTTCAAACATGACAACATAAACATACTGAATGGGTCCTTTTATATTTCCTGTTGGTATGTGTTACAGTGTATGTGAATGACATCAGCTGACAGGAAGTACACATGGACCCAAACTGTTGCTGAGCAATGCCAGTTAAACAGGACTAAGAAAAATAGTGAATTCTCACATTTGACAACCTGAAACCAGGTGTTTGGGATTTTTGCTTAAAAAAATGACAAATGATTGAGTCACAAAAAAGTTGGTGATAAATTGTCCTTCAATTGACGATAATCGTTGCAGCTCTAGATTCATGTATTTTCTTTCTTTTAAATGTGTGTTCTTCTTTTTGTTTCCCGGCCAAGATAAGCTCTGTGTCTCGCTCGATGCTCTGCCTGTGTTTAAGATTGCTTAAATCAGAGATTGCAGCTTCTATGGCCTCCGGTTGTTTAAAGGAGTACTCTTGTATTAGGTTGGGGGACTCACCAGACACAGATTTCAAAAGGTGGTCATAACTGAAGCAGCAGGAGCCAAGAAATCCTGACTGGTATGGGTCCGATTCAATGTAGAAAAGACTCCAGCGCACTGTCTGACTTGTAAAAATAATGATTTTATTGCTGCTGCTGCGAGGTTTCAGTGACTAGAACTTCATCAGGCAAATGAAGGTCTGGTCACTGAAACATTGCTTCAGCATTAAACAAAGTTTATTGGTGGAGTTTATCTGCCCCTAGAGATGAACAGTCTTGTTTTCAAGGGGGTCCAACACAAAACATAGAACACACTTCATTACAAGGGACACAATCGCAACATAAAACGTGCATACATAGCTGTCATTTACCAACCCACCCTCACATCATTCCCATAAGCCAGCAATACCCTCACATAATAAAATGGATGTATATGCCACAAGACACCTGGAGCATTAATATACTGCTACTACCACCACTACTACAATAATGGTAACATGAATCTTTGCAGGTTAGACAGTGTGCCGGCGTCTTTTCTACAAGTTTTATTCTTCTCCTCCCTCTCCTGTGCACCTGTCTGAAAATAGATGTGCGAAGTTTTCCTTCGCTATGGGTTAAATCTCAAAAACACTGGGTCCTACATTTCCCATAATGCCACTGGATATTGTCTTTCATTAGATCTTTCCTTCCTCCTTAATCCCCCTTCTTTAAACCCATCATGCCAGGTTTAAAAATGTTAAGTGTTGTGTCAGGCCCAGAAGGTGACGGGCAGGCTTCAGCAAAGCTCCTCCAGAGCTGAATACCTCAGCTTCATGTGTAAAGTCAGCAGAGTTTCCCTTTAAAACACCACTTGAGCCTCATCTTTATGATTCATTTAAGTTTAACTTTAGACTTTAAGATGACACAACACTGACTGACCTGTAATGTCACAATGTGTGATGACCATGACCACCGCAACATATGTGTCATGGCATGGGAACGGGAAATTTAGGTTGTTTTCTACTTGAAGTTTACCAAAGGGCAATGTTGCAAATGTATAAATGCATACTGATGGATTGAAAACAAATGACCTGACATCAGAGGCCAGTTGAGGTGCTGAAATTCAGACTTAATGTCACTTGAGTGTTAATTTCAACATGATTCACCCAAACACAACTACAATGGGGAAAATATGTGAAGTCTTTCCACAGCTAACAATTTGATTGCACTTAATCTGGCTCAGCTTTGTTTCTAAAAAGCTAATTGATTTGCAGTCATGAAGGAGAGATTTGTCTAAGCATGATTTAAAGGACTAAAGTGGGCTCTGTGCTTGAATCACTCGCCACGTGAAGGACATAAAGAGGAACCGACTGTATTTGCTAACGGTATTGAAACTCACGAGTTTTCAAAGCCACTCATACCCACGGCTTTGTTGTTCATCTAATTAAGACTACACCGGAGGCGTGTACATTGCAGAGCTGTATAATAACTTCAAAGACAAAACAAATCTCCAGATGCGCAGAGGATGGCACGCAGAGCGGCTGCGCGCTTTTACGCGTGAAGTCGTCCATGTGTCTCAAAGTGCCGCTGATCGCTCAGAAAAGCTTTTATTGGCGCATTAAAATATTCCTAAACCGGTTCAGCTGACCAGCGTGGGGGCCCAGCTTGGCATAATCCATTACGTTGCGTATTATATGATTTATGGTTAAGGAGGTTCTTTTTTTTTTTTTTTTTTGGAGATGCTCAGACCAAGGTTGAACTGTGTTTTGCTCAACGTCTGTTAGTGTAACTATTTGCATTATGTATTTGTAAATATGACAACGACAGATCTTTAATTGTGAATAAAGGAAGTTTTATCACAGGAGTCCAGTCAGTCATGGAGCAGTTTGTGCCTGCTGATCGCTCTCTGTCAGTCTGCAGGCGGCTATGTTACGCAGCGGGACACTTTCTAAACGACCTGTGCGCCTCTATGTGGTTCACCTACCTGCTGGTGTACCTGCACTCCGTGCTTGGCTTCCAGAGCACGTATGCAGGTGTGATGCTGCTGATTGGTCAGATAGCGGATGGAGTCTGCACGCCTCTGGTTGGATATGAATCCGACAGAATACCGTGCTTCTATGGCAGGAGGAAAAGCTGGCATCTACTGGGTAGGTACCTGAGGTAAAAGTCTTTGCAGGAAGATGCACTTAATAAAAGTGCTTATAGTCACTGTTGGAAGAATTACTCAGATCTTTACTGAAGGGAAAGTAGCAATAAGCCCACTGCAGTGCACAAATACTCACTGCATATAAAATCATAAGTAAAAGTATGAAAAAGTACTTAAAATGCTGAAATGGCCTGGTACAGAATCAGATTTTACATTAGTGACTACATCACTTTTAAATTTTGCTGTTAAAAGTGGATCTAATTTTAATGATATACTTCTATCATACTGGTATCATGACCTATTATAAAAGGCAATATAATTAAATAGTTGATTTGTGATTTGTATCACAAATCTAAATATGTAAAGTATCTAAAGTTGCCAAATAAATATGGTGGAGTAAAAAGTACAACATGTGTAGAGTAGTAGTATAAAGTACACTCTTATAAAAAAAAAAAAAAAAAAGAATCATGGGGTTTGTGGTTAATGCTCAAAATAAAGTTTTCAGTATAAAAACGTGTGTTAGTCTGGTCAAATTAAAAAACAATATTGAGTACAATGGATTTAAAATAAATAAATTAGAATAGCTAAAATAAAATAATTCGGCCACTAAATATAAACACAACTTTTGGATACCTATTAAGTTGGCTCAACTCAACTAGGTTTTTCAAGGTCAAAACAATCATGTCGGTTGTACTAAAAAAAATGAGTTTGTCAGATTATGAAAGACTCATAGGATTGACTCAATAACCCCAGAGTCTGAACTACGTATGTCAAAAAATGCATGCAAATTGTTACTCCAATTTTTTGAAGTTAAACCAAAAGATTTATTTTTTAAAGTGTGGCATAAAATGGAAATACTCAAGTAAAGTACAAGTACAGTAAAATTGTACTGTAATGGAGTAACTGTACTTCGTTAATTCCACCACTGAAATTGGATGAAAATTGATGGATCGATTGTACAAATATAAAACCAAAGCTTTGTCAAGTGCAAGACATCAGTTTGTCTGACTTCATGGTTCTGCCTCATTTCTGATTGGTGCAATTTGAGATGTTACAACTGCCCCCGGTCTCCCCTACTATTAATGTAATCTATAATAATTCATCATATATTTGTTAATGATATAAGTAGCTATCAAATAAATGTAGAATTAAAAGTAGTTTACCTACCTCTGAAATGTAGTGGAGCAGAAGTTGCATAAAATGGAAATACTCAAGTGAAGTAGCCTGTTCGATAAAATTGTACTTACAAAGTAAAAAATGCTTAGTTATCTCACTTTCGACCACTGTTAATGTTCTCACGGGAATGTTTTACTAACTTAAGAGGTGATGCCAAGTCCAAAAAAGCCAATACTACTACTCCTCCTACTACTACTTACGGTAATAGTAATAATAATTGTCATATTTGGTTTATGTGGTGGTTTTCTATGCATAGTATGATGCTCAACACTTGAAATACTAAAGTAATTCCCTCTCTACCTCCCAGGAACTGTTTGTGTTGTTGTGTCTTTCCCCTTCATCTTCAACCCCTGCCTGGCCTGTAACGACAACACTCCTCAGTGGGCTCAGATCGTCTACTTCTCCCCCTTCATCATCATCTTCCAGCTCGGCTGGGCAGCCACTCAGATCTCACACCTCTCCCTCATCCCGGAGCTCGTGTCCAGCGAGAGTGACAAGGTGGAGCTCACTGCGTAC